AACATCGACCAGACTACACAGCGCAACAACCCAGAAGACAGAAATCTTCATACTCATCGCCCTGATGACGGAGGCAGTATGACCTCTGAAACGTTGGTTAACATCGACCAGACTACACAGCGCAACAACCCAGAAGACGGAAATCTTCAAACTCACCGCTGTGTAAACCTCAAATCGTACAAGTAACTTAAAGTTTGAATGTTATATTTCAGATTGTTATGGAGTACTGTGGTGCTGGCTCAGTGTCTGACATCATGAGGTTGCGGAAGAAGACGCTCACAGAGGACGAGATTGCAACAATATTGTGTGACACACTCAAGGGACTCGAATACTTGCACTTGCGGAGAAAAATCCATAGAGACATAAAGGCTGGCAACATCCTGCTCAACACTGAAGGTCATGCAAAGCTGGCAGACTTTGGTGTTGCTGGGCAGCTCACGGTAGGTGAGATGTGGTGGTACAGTACAGCCACATTTTTTCCCCATAACACTGTATTTGTCTTGTACTCTGCAGTTTTACACATGTGCAATTAAAATGTTGTAAAGTGACTGTGCAATGTCTCTGTTGATTTTTACTTTACCTAAATGATTCTCCAGAGCTAGGATTTCGTACTGGCTGGATGCAGTAAACATTCTTGTAATCTTTTAAAATATTTTGGTAGAAGTTTGGAAATCAAAAACATTTTTTATATGTATTGTAGGATACAATGGCAAAGAGGAACACGGTCATAGGAACACCATTCTGGATGGCACCAGAAGTTATCCAGGAGATCGGATATGACTGCGTTGCAGACATCTGGAGCCTTGGCATAACGGCTCTGGAAATGGCTGAAGGCAAACCTCCATATGGTGATATCCATCCCATGAGGGCTATCTTCATGATCCCCACAAAACCTCCGCCTTCATTTCGAGAACCCGATCAGTGGTCACCTGAATTCATTGACTTTGTTAGTCGATGTTTAGTCAAGAATCCTGAGGAGAGGGCAACAGCTAGCGAACTTCTCCATCATGAATTTATAGGTTAGGTATTTTGAGTTGTGGGTTAGCATGTTGTATACTGTTTTTACAGTAAGCTGTAAATTATCTTACCGTTATGAGTACAGACACATGAACATTCTTATGTTTGCTTGGTTCTGGGATATCCATCATTACTGCTGTTTTGTTATTTTGGGTAACTGGTATTAGACTGTTTGCTGTTTCAGTTCAAGCTGCCTATTCCATTTAACTTACGAATTTCAGTTAGAAAAGTATCCGTGGAGAAAGAGCCCTTGGTACCGATTGGATTGGGTAGGCCATAGAGCTGATCTGAACCGAGTAATGAAGATAATTTTTGGTGTCTCTCTGCCAGGAATCAATTAATGGAATCTTAAAAAAAAATGCGAAGCAACCGAACATTCTGGGACAGATGATAGCTGAAGCACGTGAGATCCGGGAGAACCAAAGTTATCGCAGTAATGCTGCCACCTCGGCGGCAGCTGGTGCCAAACAGAACCACGCCGAGGAATCAGTGAGTAGACTGTTATCAGTTCATGTGTGTGAATGAGATGATTCCAAAGAATATTACTTGCTCATCCATAGCTAATTTCACTTAATAGTTTATCATCATTGTCACCATCCTTGTTTATGTTTGGCCTGACTGGCCGTTTACATTTATTACAAAACAGAATCTTTCTACATATTTTTGCTGAGTATCCTTTATATCTCTGCTATAATATATTTTCACATCAGAAGAGAAATAAAATGTTAACGATTAAGTATACTGTGGTATCGGTCATTGGTTCTGATGTCATTATCCATTGGTGTTTCAACCAGGTTGGTTCATCTGATGACGTAGCCTTGTCCACTCTTTTTCTGTCTTCCTATAATTATTCCTCACATCTGTGGCCACTCTTACCCTGCTATCTTTTATATATCTTCTTTCACATCACCTTTCCACCTACCTCTGAAGGATGTCTTCATTTTTGATGCCCTCGAAAAGCTTCGTGTTCCCCACGCGTAACATAAGCAATTTGACACACTTTCCGTACAGCGTTTCTGGTTTCAAACATTATCCCATCTTTCTAATTTTTTAAATGCTGCATAAGAACATCATCTCTACTGGTTGTAATCTGCTCAGTTTTGAACAACTTTCTTTTCCACGTGCCAAAACACGCTAGCAGTATACAACGTGATTTTAACTTTTTCTGAAGTGTTAGGTCATTATTATAGTGTTGAGTAGTGGCGTTTTACCTATTTTGCAGAATTTTTGAATAACGTTATAGAATTTGTATTAAGGTTGATAATGTTCATCTTGGTTCTTTGCAGAGGAGACCATGGAATAGACTGTGTGAGGTTAGTGTTGCCTGACGTGCATGCATGTTACTTTAATGTCTTCATACATCTTGTTGATGTTGCTGAAATTTCATACTTTTTCATTGTTCCAGTATTGAGTTCAATTTGTGATTATACATTATTTATAGTTTTTGCTTGTTTCAGAGTAGAAATACAAAGTTATGTCTTCCTATTTACAGTACATACATAAAACTTGATCTCTATGAATCTATTTTTTAGTTTTTTTTTCTCTCTCTCTCTAAGGAATGGTAGATTATGCTGTAATCATGTCTGTGTATAGTCCACGACTGTAACCTTGAGATTTGCGGGGTGAGGAAGTGGGGTGGAAGGAGGAAAGACAGCGTCTGCCTTTAACGCTTCGGACTTCCTGCATTCCTCGCAAGTCTCAAGATTACAGTCGATTACTGTATATGTGTGTGTGTGTGGGGCTATAATTCTATCTGCCCCTCCCAAATAACTGTTGAACCAGTAGGTGCAAAATCAGGAAACTTTGTATAGATGTCGTGCATTGCAGTTCCAGTTTCCTACTTTGTAATTTCCTGTCATCCACAATATCAACTCAGCTATCGTGCAAAGTTCTGAGGAATGAGTGACATGAGAGCTGCTTGATATAGAGAGTCCTGAAATTTGGTTATGATCTCTGAAAACTATGCCACTTTGTTGTGACCTTGTTTCTGTAGATTGTAAAACAGCTTTGCAGGTGCATGAAATCTGTATTTAACTGTTATTTTATGGCAACAACTGAAGGACCATTGGCACTAAGCACATGATACTCTGCATGGATGTAGATCAAAAATACACCAAACATTTATGTAAAAAATTTTATTTGTAGATGTTTAAAATTACAAGTATACCATGCCGTGAAACTCTGAGGTTATATCTGGTTACTGCTTTGTATCAAGGTGGTCCTGGGTTAAAGTCTCAGCCTAAAGATGGGTTCTCTGGACTGAGGTTTTTATGGTTTTCTTCAGTCTCTCAAGGCAAATTTGGGATGACATCGTAAATTCGATCACGACCACTTCTTTCCATATTCTTTCCAATTAATTATTCACTAATCATCAGTTTAAGCCATATAGTCTGAGCTTCTGACATCGTCATTAAATAAACTTTACACGGTGTCTTTAATGGAACCTAAGAATGAATCATAAGATGTACTCAAATATGGTGGTAGGAGTATTGATTAGATGACTAGTATAATCAAGTGGAAGGTGCAGCAGTTGCTTCTACATTTTGCGAGGCGTGTTTCGTCTGGATTGGGTGCATTGATATTAGAGCGGGATATTTTGCGTTGTAGGATGAAGATGACATCCTAAACAATAAAACTATGGTGCAGTATCCTCAGGACTCAGGGACTTTGGTACCATCACGGGATCTTGTTGATGGTACTGTACTTCCAAATGATACTGGTACATTGGTAGCCAATAGTGAAGCTGGCACTATGCTGGAGCTGCAGTCTAATCTTGGAACCATGGTGATCAACAGTGATACAGAAGAGGAACCTACAATGAAAAGTAAGTTAGAGCAGTTTTATTGTTCATCAGTTATATCTATAATTTCAGTTGTGCTCAGTGATGATGATGATGATGATAAGAGTGTGGCATGTGAACTTTTGTGTACATGTATATCATATATGAACCTATGAATTGATTATGAAATATTTTTATATGTAAACGGTTACGAACACAGTTATGGTGTGAAAATTTGAGATTGCATCTGACAAATTTAATGTAGTCATAACTTGCGCTAGTGGAAATCATGCAGAAAAATGGATAGTTATTAATTTTGTGATTGTTGCTAGTCTCATCATATAGACTGGAGCATTTGAGAGAAATATATTCCTACATTATCTTGTGTATTTTATTGTTTATTTGCAGGGCACGATACAGGTCCCGGAGAGTCGGGGAAGAAATATCGTCCGTTGTTTCTTGATCACTTTGACAAGAAAGAAGCTGAGAACATTAAAGTGAGTGGCTTGAGTGTGTAATGTTATGTGCTATAAATATGCTTTATGCGATGAATAGTGACTAACGCAACTTCATTTTAAAACATATTTGGCAAAGGTTACAAAAGTGAATGACAAAGCTTTCTGTTGGCTAGATTTTAAATTACTTACTAGTCAGCTGTTTTATGAGTCAGCTCTTGGACCAATATCTTGTCGAACAGGACCATTCCGTGTATCTGCCTTTGTGGTTTTATTTCAGGCCCAGACCAGAAACTTGTGGTTTCCTAAACAATTATGATTATTACTAAAATTATAAATTATTATTCTTACAGTGTGGATTCAAATGCCGTGGTGTTATGTTGTGTGTCGAGTACGATGGGACAAAGGTACAGAATCCATGAACTTATGTGATTTCTGTTTTTCTGTTCAGGGCAATGGCCAGCCTCAGGTCTCACCCTCCCACAGACTCTCAAGTGGAGATGTGTCCACTAATGCCCACTCCAACACATCGCCAAATGCTAACATGTCACCCTCACAACACAATGCTAACTCAGTACATCCTCAGCAGCACAAAGCCACAACACCATCATCTCAACAGTCACCACAGCTATCAGCAGAGGAGAGGCAGAGATTTCAGAATCATCTACAGCGGCAGTTGAACCAGATCTCAGGTGCAGGGGGAGGAGGTCCTCTCCATCACCCTCCCACAGTTGAGCCCTTCCAAGCAAGGCACCATCATGAGAACCAGGCCAAATTTCAAAGAGCTTTTGTTGATGGTGACTTTGAATTTGTAAGTGTTATTTTGTACTTCTCTCCTAATGTTATAAAATAGTTTTATTAAGTTGACTAAATGAGGAGGACGGGACGAGAGGGACACGTAGCGTAGAGAGGGAGATGAGATATGCGTACAAAATTTTGGTCAGTGAAACTCAGATTTGATCTGTTGGTTCTATCAGTACCTGTGCTGATGAGTAGATACATGGATGGATTGTGGGAAACACTTGACGATACTGTAAGGCTTATGAAATAAGTAAAGTAACCAGAAACTTGCCAGAATACACAATGAGAAAACCTAAATATAGATGAGACTTGAGGTTATTATAGTGATAAGTATGAATATGGCTGTCTTCTGGCATGTATCATCATGTAGTCTGATATATATATATATATTGATGTAAGTCAGTTTAATTTCTTCTGAGCTAAATTGCTGAGTGAGATGCAATTGTTATTATATGAGTTGTCCAGTTATTAAAACTTGAACTGAAATTTTAATGCAATTTTTGCAGCTGAAGTTCCTAAGTTATGAAGAGCTACAACAGAGGATGGCAAATCTAGATGCAGAGATGGAACGTGAGATTGATGAATTACGCCGGCGATATCAAACCAAGCGTCAGCCTATCCTCGATGCCATGGACCAGAAACGGAAACGTCAACAGAATTTCTGAGAGAGAAGACGCAGGTGTTTGGCTGGCAGTGGCCGTCACATCAGACATACGAGCCAGACCAGATGCGGTGTCAGTCTCAGGCCAGCCTTTCCACCACATTGCTGCTACAAGGATATGTTCTAAGGACTTTCAAGAATGGAGCCTAAGATAAGTTACTATTTAGGAATAAGAAGTTTCCTAACAGAATGCGTAAATACATACTACATATGATGAGGTGGCTGGCAAACAAGCACCATTCAATACTGTATTTGCTCAAGTAATGCCTGTATGTAGTTTATGATCAAAACATTTTAAATATTAAATATTCATGTTCTAAGGTCTTCAAAAATCAAGCATTACTACATTTTGTACATTAACTGTATTACTGGCTGTCATGGCTGTAGTTTTTGTGCTTTTACTCAGCCTCTTCAGGAAAATTCTAGTATAGTACCTTGATCTAGGTCACCACCACTGTGCCACCTTCGAAATCTTTAATTAATGAGCAAGTTTTTGCATAAAATGAAATTGGAAGATGATAATGAATGCTGATACCACTCCTAAACCTTTGCAATCAAACAGCGTAATTAACCTTTTATTTTATGTGAATGTGGGATTTGAATCGTACTGTGGGACTGGTGGCTTGACTTTAACTCCGGGATTTAGCATTGTAGTGGTATCGTACTACATCATATGGCCAGCTGGACCACACATAGGCTATGATGCATGACTCATGAAGGGTAAAATCAGTTAAACCTTTATCTTAATCCATACATGCAATTCACCTGGCCCATCCCAGAGCAGCTGAATGTCTACTTTGTGTTTCGTAAATTGTTTCCCTGGTGGGAGGAAGGAGGGTTCTGTAGCTACTCACTTTGACTATCGAAACAGACTTAGGAAAGCGTTTCTCTAAAAAAAGTAGACGAATGCCCATATAATTTATTCTTGTCCGTATTTGCCGTAAAAGTTTTGACCCAGACAAAATATACGGCTGTCTGTGACTTTCCTCAGTTACTCCATACAAATTCTGGTATAGTACCTTAATATGTGTCACATTTCCTTTTCCTTTCAATTTTATCTTGTAAGTTGGTAAACACTAAATGTGCTCTTCAATTGATACAGAATCTTTAAACAATATATAAATCAAAGACAGAATGTAACCTACCATCTTGCATTTTTATAGGTGAGTATGTTTGGTTGAAATGTGAATCACATTACCTGTTTATCAAAGCCTAAATTAACCTCAAAAAGAAAAATATGTTTTTTATGAGACCTCATCATCTGCCTTTCTGCCCAGAGATCATTACCCTAAAGCGGCCCATCCGCGTACGAGTCTGGCTCGGCGAGCTTGGCATATTTCACCACACGTGCGTAGCAGACTCGGCTCGTGACACCCCACCCACGAACGAGTTTGGCTGAATGGAACCCGATCCGAGCCGGACTCGTACGCGGATGGGCCGCTTAACTGAGGTTTCTCATGGTTTTCCTTGGTCCATCCAGCCAAATGTGAGAACTTGCCAGATTTGCTTTCTTTCACATCCCTTCCAGCTCATTTTTCACTAATTCTGTCATCTGACACTATCTTTTGCACTTGGTCAGAAATGTTTTAAAATAAAGCTGTTGTGCTACATGCCATGGAGGTGTTGGGGAGGGGGGAGTTAGTATAGGTCTTGGCATTACAAATTATATACATCTTACCTCCTTGCCTCCTTACCTGGTAGTGAAGATATAATCTAAGCTATTCACAACACCGTTAATAAACCTTACAGGTAATACATGAAGATGTATGTAAAATTGATTATCATGTAGCGTAGGGTTGAACAACAACAGTGTGTTGTTGATTAGTGGCTTAGCCATTTTTGTTTTGTTTTATTTGTGTTTATTAAAACAGTATAATTATGAGTTTTCATGTTTCATATCCTTTTCTTTATTAAGTTATTGGGAAATTGATACAAGTAATAAAACAAGTATAACATTTCCTTTATCTTCATGCGAGAATCTGTATATGCAACACTTGAGAGCTTGGAACATTTTCTGTTTTCATTTTAGGGCAGTTGACTAACTTTAACATTAAAATTCTAAAGATTTTGTTTTTTTAAGACTTACTCCATCATAGTCTTTAAGTAAAATATAGAAGAGGGAGAATAGGAGGTGCCTCGTCCATTGAGCCATTTGGATAAAGGCATGAAACATCACTGGCACGATAGGATTAAAGGTTGTAAAGTTTAGTAAAATTTATTTTCATTACATGAGCAAATGTGGTACATCATCTCACATAACACGTACTGTAGTCGTCAATCAGAGTATTGCAAGTAGCATTGAATCATACCGTATAATGTTGGCAACACCGTGTAAATATGAAAATTTAACGTGTCGCACGTTGATTTAATGTTCCTTGCAGCAGAATCTTAAATGGAATTATATTTTTAAGAGTTACTTACTGAACTGAATTTAACAATACACATGTGGTTTCACATTTTTAACCTTTTACTCTCAAATAATTTTAAGTCAAGCTTTCTTTCTTTGTACTAGTCACGTTATGTACAATAATATAATATTTATTCATGCATATCGGGAATACAAATTATGAATTTAACGCCGACAAACATTGTAAAAGGGTGGTGCGAGGAGCATCTGGTGTCGTATGTACTCGCGGTCCACGACGATATTTCCAGCTGTCAGGCCCACCCGCCTCGTACTGAATTTATTCCCAAAGCTTTTCCCTTTGGAAAAACTGGCTGCAGTGTGTAGCTGAGCATTCACCTCCTCCTACTACCAAGATCTGTAATGTATTGAATGTTACTTCACAGCCCACATGTGACATTAAATTTTATGCAATTTAAACTCATACATTTTGTGCTCATTATTAAAGCCTTAAGTCAGATATAACTTGTATTAACTTAAGCCCTTCGTACTGAGTGCGACTGATAAATCGTAGTGTAATGAATTTATGCAGCGTGTTATTTCTGTTATTTGCGCGCTTGAATTAAGTTTGAAGTATTGTTTGTAAAATTAAAAATTTCCTAAACTTTGACAAAGTTTAATCGAAAATTCTTAACCCTCTTCCAGCCTAAATACTCGAAAGCACTTTTGTTCGTGGTCTTCGGTATCTTAGACATTCGAATTTCGTTCCTGTCTCCTAGTGAAATATGTTGAAATTTGCGTTGCTACAGCGTTCTCTTCACTTATTGGTTTCAGTTCCCACACTGTTCTAACGTAACGTTAAACTTTCGTGTGTGTGAAACGATAGAGGTTTCAATCTTTTGAGTAAGGGTAGGAGAGGGATAGAAATTGAAATGTTATAAGCTCTCTGCATAATGTCCATATATTCTTAGTTGCATTTAACCATTTGAACCGTACATTAGTAAGAAGCGTGATGGCTCCCCCCAGTGGCGAATCGTTTTCCGTTTGCCACGTGAGGAATCGCATATAACCACTGTAACTGTCTGTAAAGAAATCTAAAATGACTTAATTTAAAGTAGTGTCAGGTATGCCGTAACGCAAAGAATATTTTGATGAAAATGGATTATACAAATACAAATTTTAGGATGGCAGGAGCATGTGGGTAGGCGTAGATTAGTACTGAGGGAACGCGATAAGACCGCAAAGTTTGGATCGCGGTTACTCGGCTGCATGGAGGGAGGAACAGTCAGGCAAAATTTACCGCAGTGAGGAGGTGGTCAGATTCCTGGTTCCCCCAAAAAAAAGGAGGCATAATATTGTTTCTTTAAAGTGCTGCTAAAGAGAATATTTTATATTATGTTTCAGTGAACTACAGCACAGTTTACATTTACAACAAACTCATATATGATGGGTACCTGATGTAAAGTTTATGTAATCACAAATATATTTTGTATTCCTGATAACAGCCACAATACTTCATGTGGACAAGAAGGAAGAAGGGCTTTAATAAAAATGTTTTGACAGTATAATGTAGCATTTATTTTGCATGGAATGAAAGACACTACCATATTTAACACGAATCTGTTGTACCAATTGGAAGAAAAATTATTTTGGTACCACAGCATGAAAATTGTTTTGGTGCTACACAGAAAGCTGCATTAAGATTCACAAAGTACTATCGAGTGTCTGGATATCGTCTAGCTCTCTGCCGGTCTCGGTATTTGCAGAAACGACACGTCTGAGACCTGTTCTGGCAGTAATCGGGTAGGGCAGTTTTTGAAGAAAAAAAATCAATTTTTTTTAAAATTTTCGAAAAAACATAAGATGCTGGAAATTGTACAAAAAGCGCACAAAACTAAAAAAATAGAACAATTTCAACTTAAAACGAATTATCAAATATTTCGAAAATTCTTGGTTTTATGCGCTTTTTATACAATTACAGGCATTTTTTGAGTTTTCGAAAATTTTCAAGATTTTGAACATTTTTTCAAAACTCCTGCAGAGATGTCTGCCGGACTCGGCCTTCTACATCCCTGCTGCTTGCATCAACCTTGACTACTCCTGTGCCTCACCGTCGAAACAGGTCTATGTAAAATTCCGACTTCAAAATTTTTTCGATTTTTTTTAGTTATTTTCGCATTTCACGACATTTATAACTATTTCTAATTTTTTCAAAAATTTTATCAAAATTATCGAAAAGTCAAAAAATGCAGGAAATCGTCCAAAAAGCGCACAAAACTAAAAAAAATTGAAAAATTCGTACTTTGAAAATTTTTGGAAAAATTTTGGTTTTGTGCGCTTCTCAGGTAATTTGCATGGTTTTTTGGTTTTTCGAAAATTTTGAAAAATCAGAAATTTTTCAGTTAACGTTTGGACAGGAATTGTTGGTGACGTGCTTGTTGGTCCACACACGCTTCCTTCACGTCTCGTTGAGGATGTAGCACTGAATATAAGAAGACGAATGTGGTTTATGCACGACGGAGCCCCAGCACACTTCTCCAGTCGCGTCCGAGATCATCACAAAAAACAGTACCTTCAGCGATGGATTTTATGCGGTGGACCAGTAGCATGGCCACAGAGGTCATCGGAACGTGTGCAGAATGCATGTCAGATGAGTCGAGGAAACCCTGGTGTGTACGAACGAATCCGTCAGTCTTGTGCACGTCGTGCTCTGACATGTGTGGAGAATGGAGGAGCAACCTTTGAGCACCCTGAACTTCCCTGTCCTTATACTTGGCAATAAATGCATACATTAAAACTTATTTTGGCTATTACGTATTTTAAAAAGGAAGCATTTGCGACCACATTTTTTCTTATGTTTGATCCATTAACACGCACACAAAGTTTGTAAACATACTTTTGACTCACCCTGATTAGTGGCCTCAATTCTGGACCATATAATATCTACATAGCAGCTTCCTTTCAAGGCTATTATAATGGCTATGTGGCAAAGTCTATGGAGGTCCGGGCGCCTGACTCCAGGTTCGAACGAACCCCCTAGGCTCAGCCTCCCCAGGGAGAAACACCACAGCCAGTGCCAGCATACCCAGGGCCAGGGACACATCTCTCCCCAGGGCTATGCCCTTCTTTGTGTCCCAGGGCCGCCCAAGCCCAGGGCCGCCTCCCCGCGAAGGGAGGTGGATGCCCAGGCCGTTCCTTGAGCGAGCGGAGGCGCGGACGCTGCTCCGGACAACGAACCGCCCGAGTCGAACTCGTTGGCTTTAAGCTCGCACGCTACAGAAAACAGGACCTTGTGGACGAGGCAAGTCGTCCAACTCTTTCGACTAACCCACGTGACAGCAGATCTTGTCTACAGGATATAGCAAGAACATAATAAGATTAAGTATATTAAAAGGAGCACTCAAAATTCGAAAATAGTACCAGCAGCGAACGCGCAGTAATTGACATCGAATAATACGGAAAGGGGGGCTCAACCCCAGCCGCTGAGTGGTCGTAGGAAATTAAAACAAACCTCTTAAAGCAAAATGATAACTCGCGCCCTCTGTGCGGGATGGCGCTTTT